TGTAAAACAGCAATTATGCTGAGTCAGGCTTGATTTTTAATAATCTTTTCCTGTTAAATAAATCAAATGAAAGCAAATCAAATCAAAGCTGGTTTTCAGTATTCTTCATCTGACATATTTTGATCTCTCTGAACCTGCTGTTGAATTTGACTCAGTAGATGTCAGCTGAACTTTATATCAGTGTGCTCATTAGATCAGATGCTTTTAATGGTTCCACAGAAACAATGCAATCTCAAAGGCAATGGACTCTTCTCTGTTTCAGGTCCAGGACTATGGTCTGGCACTGCATGTTAGACAGACTCCATTACTTGCTGTTTTTAAGTCTTATTTAAAAATGTACTTATATTCTCTTGGATTCGATGCAGCATCTCTTCTCTCTGTTAGTCCTTTTCACCCTTTTAGAGAAAGGAGGCCCCTATCTGCTGCCACCACTGTCACAGGCCACATGTTGTGACTCACCCCAGGTAAGATTCACATCTTGCAGCTCTGATGTCATCGTCCTTCGTCATGTTATTCTTGATCTTCTCTGCTTCCCTTTATCAAATGATGTCTAATATACAAGTAGTCATAGTTCCCTTTTAATTGCCAATATGTCTTGTTTCTTCAAACTTCAATCATCCAGTCCTCCAAACATCACATACATCAATGACAGAGTAGGCTATTTGGCAATGGTAGAGGATTTTGGCTAATTTTTCACATGTGAAACCTCAGTCAGCTCTACTGTTCATCCCACAAACGCATGTTGCAAAGATGGCACAATTTAAAAGAAAAATTAACAGACTTTACAACAAACTAATCAAGCAAACACAAATTACCTCACTTTTTGTTATAAATTTATATACTGTATATTTTTTTAACTTCAAGATTTGTGAAATTTTCAGATTTCTGTGGTGCTCCTTCAAGGCCAATCAGTTCTTTAATATGTACATTTCATTTATTTATTCATTTTTTGTACTTTTGAATTGCCTTTTATAGYTCTGACTTAAAGCTTTTAAGAATCACATTTACAGAGCCATTGTTTGTGCTAATCCAAAAAACGATACAAGTCATATTAGTTGGGATTACAATGAATTATCTGTCAGGAGTCACAGGACTAGTGTCAGAGATTGAAATCCTACTTTCACATCAACTTTGCATTTAGAATGCAAATCACTATTGATCACTAACATGAAACGACAAGTATGAGAATCAGTTATTAATCTGTCAGCATGTGGATTTCAAGCATTTCAAATCACCGGGGCAATCAAAAAATAACAGTATTTTTGAAATCTGTCAAGAAAACATGTTGAATCAGGATGTCAACTGCACACCTGACTTGAGTACACACTGTGCTGTATTGTTTAGGCTCTGAAATATTTCTTTAGAACTGAAAGGTCAATCTTTAATGTATCTGTCAGCTCAGCATATTCTATCAAAGCGCACAGGGTTAGRTTATTACAATGAGTGGACACTGACACTGATCTACTTGACTCCACCTCTTCGAGATAACAGTTTTTTTCTGACAAAACAAAACCCATGATATCCAGACTTCTCTTGAGAAGCTATCTTAAATGGCTGGTAAGGTAGACCATGGCACAATGGAGAGTTACGGGMTTGAGCTGGAATGCGAGCATTTCAGCTGTTCTGTGTGTCTGGATCTCCTCAAAGATCCGGTTTCTCTCTGCTGTGGACACAGTTACTGCAGAAGCTGTATTGAGAGTAGCTGGGACACGGAGGAAGAAAAGGGTGAATACAGCTGCCCTCAGTGCAGGGAGACCTTCCATCCCAGGCCTGTTCAATTCAATTCAATTCAATTCAATTCAATTCAATTCAATTCAATTCAATTCAATTCAATTCAATTCAATTCAAATTCAAAAATACTTTATTGATCCCAGAGGGAAATTAGGTATGACTGTGTTGTTCTGAAGAGGAACAACATGCTGGCTGAGGTAAGTAGAGGGAAACAACGGTGAATGTGTTCATACCTGCCTGGCATCTTCTGAACCGCTGGCAAAACAACTGGATCATGCATTATTCAGTGCAAATGTCTAGACTGTATTACAAAGTAGAGCTGAGTCAGTACTGAACTGTTAGATCAGATCTTTGTTGAAGCTAAATTGTCCCAAAACCTTGAACTGTATCTTGAACATCACTGATAAACTGATTTACTGGTCCCTGTTAAGTCAGCTTCTTACACTGGGCAATGGCCTTTCTGTGATGTGAAAAACCAGTCAGAAGGTGGATGGTGATTGCAGGGTCTTGGTGAGGTCTTTAGGGGCATTGTACAAAAGACTGTTTGTTTTCAGCCTTATTGCTTAGTAGTTAGTCTTCATTGTAGTTCCGTTTTCTGCCACTAGAGGCCCTCCAAGACTATATAACACCACACACATATACCAACCATGCCAAATTAAACAGAAGTTCAACATTTATTCTGGACATAGTCATTTATCTTTTCACCTCAACTCACCTGAACATGAGAAATTGCTGTCMTKACCCGACACCCWGCAGTGATTGCAACTACTAATTCAGAACAATTACAGTCCTTCAATACAGGCATTTTAAGAACGCATCTGTCTCCTTATTTCTCCTGATATAATGTGATGACTGTCCAATCCTGATGTGGGTTTGGGGCATTATGATTCTGCCAGCATTATACCTTTGTTTAAACCTTTATTYAATCAGGAAGTCCCATTGAGATAAAAAAAAAAAAACCATGGACGTCCCATGTAACAGCATCATACTTGTTTTTACGAAGAAGGTTTTCCAAATGTGCAACAATTTAGCCATGTCCTTACAGCTCGTATGTTGTAACAAAAGAGAGCGTAAAAAACCATTCACAATTTTGTTTTTAGGTTGTGAAGAAGCTGAAAAAAAGAGGCCAAAAACTTCCCCTCCCTTTGGAAGTGCCTCGGACTGATGTCGACCCAGCAGACGACACTTGTGACTTTTGTGGGCCCAGACGGAGCAAAGCAACAAAAACCTKCCTGACCTGTTTGGCATCTTACTGTGATGAACACGTCCAGCCTCACTACAGCGTTTCAGTGCTGCAGCAGCACGAGCTGGTCTCAGCTACAATSCCACTGATGGAAAAGATGTGCACACATCACAAAAAGATGATGGAGCTTTACTGTCAGACAGATGAGCAGCTAATATTGTATGCACCGAGTGCATTGTGGGTAAACATAAAGGCCACAAGTTTGTGTCTGCTTCAGAAATGAAAGATGTGACAAAGGTAATGACCGCCTGACAGATTAGTCTTGGAAAGTACATTCACAATTCTACTTTTTTAGTTTATTTGAGTTAATACTTCCACCACTGTTTTCTTTGTRTTTAATTTTTGTATGGGCTATTTGCAATTTAACAATTTTTGCATACTTTGTGCTATTTTAGCCATTTTTATATCAAACCCTTCAGCTCATTCAGTAGATTGGTTCTATGACTTTTGWTTTTTGTAACTTMTATACTTTTGAGAATATTTGTCAWTGAGWACAAATATTGTTCCGTAGAAATACTGAGATATTTTCTTTGTAATACTTGCAAAAACAAACCAACATTGGTGTCTGAAATCTGCATCAGCACACTTAAATGTATTTGTTTTTAGCCTTCAGCCAGCCTTTGGACACATTTAGCCTCTTGCGTTTTGATATTTTTAGCAGTTTGTTTTCTTCTTTTAACTTTGAGCTAACCTTTACTTAATTTTAGTTAGTCTCGTTACTTTWGGCTTTTGGCTAGCGTGTTGCTTCTTTTATCTTTTAGATATTATTTTAATATCTTTTTAACTTCAGGGTGGTTTGCWTCTATAATAACTCATTTCAGCTTCAGTAAATTTCAGTACAGTGTTTTAGGACAGCGTTCACACTGCATTTTCTCAGAAAATGCCATTTATTTTATTTAATTAATAACAGGAGCAATACATAACATSCTACATGCCAAGTGTTGTACATATTCTCTAACCAAATGCTAATTTTGTAAACCCAGTGTGCATACTAGCGCTTGGTTAAATGACGTGTATGACCGACTAAGGATATGCACACATTCAAAACATTTTTTTCTTTGTTCTGCATTAAATATGAATTTAGACAACAAATTAATCATGCATTTTGCAACTTCATTTTGCAGCAAATAATAGTTTTGTGGGAAATAAAGTTGTTTTTGTTTCTTTCAGAAACATCTGGACTCGGTTCAAAAGAAAACCTCACAAAAGGTCCTGCAGAGAGGAAAAAGAGCTGGAAAATCTCTTACAAGCTGAGGAGGTGTGCAAAAATGTGTAAAAATGAAAAAAAATATTTCAAAAAAATTATTTACTTATGTGTTGGGGATCAGTCTCCGCTACTACCGCTACTACTTCTAGCTTATAGTAAGTTAAAGCTGTTTTTGTTTCTTTAAAGGCCAGTTGTCTGTGACAGCCTTCTTGAATCAAGTCTAAACTTTAAAGAGGTGTATAAGTGCATTCCAAGATTTCTATCTTCAGATATAATATGCAAATTAGTGAAATACATAAACACACATAGGCAAACACTTGTCTCTCAACTTGGATTTTGTTGATTTAACATTGAGCATCTGGTAAGGATGCCTCCTGGACGCCTCCCTGGTGAGGTATTCCGGGCACGTCCCACCGGGAGGAGGCCCCGAGGAAGACCCAGGACACGCTGGAGGGACTATGTCTCTCGGCTGGCCTGGGAACGCCTTGGAGTTCCCCCGGAGGAGCTGGAAGAAGTGGCTGGGGARAGGGAGGTCTGGGCCTCCCTTCTGAAGCTGCTGCCCCCGCGACCCGACCCCGGATAGGCGGAAGAAAATGGATGGATGGATGGATGGATGGATTTAACATTGACTTCCAATAGTTTCTGCAGCCAAACCCTGACCCCTTACCCCTAAACCTAACCACTCCAGTACATGCCTAACCCTAAACCCAACCTAAATTTAATACATATTATAGCCCTAAAACTATCACCTGACCCACAAATGGGGTTTTTGCAATGGACCAGGCAAATGTCCACACAATGACAAAATGTCCTCATAAACATAGTATAATGTCAAAATATGCCTACTGTCTGGTTACTTTCTGTCATTTAGAAGAGCTACATTTTTTTTAAATGAYGCTTTTAAAAACTTGTCATAACAAACAGATTGTGAAATGTAGGGATCAAGATCTTAGCAAAACCAACATGCTTCCTCTAGGCATGGTTCTGTAATCAGTAACTGTTGGAAACTTTTGCCAGCTGGAACAGAAAGTGGTATTTTGTAAGTTGAATGCAGCAGTGTGTTGGATGCCAAGCACCTGGCTAGGTAGTTGGCCTACCATTAATACATTTTTTTATTCAAATAGAGGACAACAGAAAAAATTTCACACTAGAAATCTGAGTAACTCATAATATCTTGTTAGCTGTATTGTGAACATTTCTTTTCAGCATTTTATTAATTGTTACCAAATATTGGTTAATAATTCAAAAGCTTTTAGTAAAAAAAACAGACACCATAAAACATATTCACAGAAATCATACAGTAGCAGATAGATTTGAAAGAAAATGGCTGCCAAGTAAATGTTTCTTTGTTGACAAAACAGAGTTTGGAATCAGGCAAATTCAGCTTGACCGGTGTGTGATCTAGTTTGGATTTAATCTTTGGAAAATTCAATGTTTTTCCATGTCAGAAGTTAAAAATCAATGCAGTGGATTTAATTTAATCTATCATTGTTGCCAGTAAATAGCTGTTTTTGTGTGTTTTATTTTGCCTGTTGGTTGGCAAAATACCTCATGAACATGGACAAATTTGAATTAAATTACCAGAAAGTGATATTTAGATGAATATCTACAACTGAATAACTCTTAAAGTCAGCTATGTTTAAACTGGCCGACACAGTCAATCAACCTTAGTAACACAAAAATGTCTATAACACAGTCAGTTTGACAGATACTGAGCTAACTAAGCACTAATGGTTTACACAAAATTGTTGATGCTTTAACAAGAAAGTTTGATGCTGATAATGATTCCATCAAGGAATGCTATTCTTTTAAGACAAATACCTGACTGTGTCCCACCAGGACTCTGTTCAGACTTTGCTGAATGACTGTAATGAGATCTTCGCCCACATGATCTCCACCATACAAAGAAGATGCAGTGAAGTGGAGCAGCTTATCAAAACTCGGGAGAAAACTGTTGTCAGTCAAGCTGAAAAGCACAAGGAGCAGCTGGAGGAAGAGCTCACCAAGCTGAGGRGGAGGGATGCTGAACTGCAGGGCCTACTGAATTCTGACAACCTTGTTTACTTAATGCAGGTACAAACAATCCACATAGTAGACAGGTGTGGGCCAGAGCTGGTGTCAAGCTGGAATTGCTGGCATGGCAAGTGGTTTGTCAACTGGACGTGGGCCAGGTCTGGCAAACATGGCACTGTTTTTAAGATGGCCACAACTGCTTAAGTTGTGATGTGGTTTATGTGGTGCTGGCCCATGTAATGACCTCTGGCAAGCCACATCTGGGCCACCAAAGGGCTGTCATCCTTTGTGGTATCTGGGGCTGCTGTTAGTGTATTGTGTTGGTCAGACTGGGCCAGACAAATTTTGTGGGAAAGTTCAGACTTGTCATGGACTTCTTAAGTTTATCCTGTGTTTTCAACTCTGTATGTCTGAGTGTATTGTTATCAATGAACAAGCTTTAAATTGAAGTTTTATTAATACCTGTGCAGTTTGAAGCAGTTTTGCCAGAGAGCTGCCATCTTTCATTAGCTGGAAGACATTAGCTCTTAGGCTGTGAGATAGTGGCTTTCTTGTAACTACTGTACCACAGACACCATCCATGTTGTGTTAATTAACAGACTCCAAATGACAACTCTCTGGCAATAGCCACTTTTTATTAACCTGAGCATAGATCAGCTTGATAGTGTAACAGATGGGTGTAGTCATGAGTCATGATGTTACATAAATGGAAATAAGCTGAGCAAGCAGTATTGTTTATAGGACTGGATTGAAAGAGTACTGTTAAGTGACAGACTCTTAACCCTGGGGAAGGAAAAAATGAAGAGCTGTCAACAGGTATAGAGAAATTGTTTATCTTCAAGGGAGTGGCATTAGAACCTAGGTTTTGGCACTATTGAGTTTGAGCAAGTTTTTAGAAAACTAGCCTGTAAATTCGTGGTGGCAGTGCGAAGGTGAAGTGGGTGGGACGGAGGAGGGTTCGGTGGACTTGTAGACCTTGAGGCAATTCATATAAGAATTAATTAAAGGGAAAAAATCACTGAATATCACCTTCTTCCAAATGGAAACATTAGATAACAAACTAGAGGGGTTCAAGTACAGAGCTTTGGGGTACACCACAAAAAGGGTTGTAAATTATTTGAGTTAAAGCAACTTCCTGCAGCTTGAGCAACATGATTTCAACCAGTACAGTTCTGAATCGGATAGCCCAATGATAGCTAAAGCTTGGTTTCTGCTTGATGTGTTGAATATGGCACAACGGTGCACACAGCAACAGTTACAAAATCACGCTGTCCCCATCATTGTGCACTAGCCCCACTCAGTGTCACGGTACGTTGTCTTGCACCTCTTAGATTGTGTAACTTGGCACTCACTTCGCATGCTGTTCTCCATTCAAAATAGATGATTTTGAAGGTGCTCTCGTGGAGCATGATCCTTCTATGAGAGATCATAATGAAATGGCTCAAATCTCATGGAAGGATATTGCTGCTGTGGTCACTAAAGTGGAGTCTGTTTGTTGTAAGAATGGAAAAATATACAGGACTGTTGTGTGAAAACCAAAAAGAAAGTCCACGGTGATCCAGGTGAAAACAAACCTGTTTCATCCATCCCATTAGAGCTGGGGTGGATCTTCAAGTTTGTGAAACACAGAAAAATGGACATCAATCTGGACAGAGAGGTAGGTAACTAAGTAGCACAACTACTGGCAATCCTCTGAGTCAGTACAGGATACATACACACACATTGGACTGGTTTCCCAATCCCATATTACATCCACRTCTACAACTAAAATGATTTTGCAATGCATGTTTCCTTTACGCATGGCAGTTTAGTCCAAGACTATGCATAATCCAAAACAGACTAGACATCTATAAAATATGAGTAATTATGTTTATATATTACTTTTCTCACTGAAAAAATGACTAAAACACTGTGACATAAAGCAATCTATTTCTTTTTCTCTGAAGTGCTTCCTTATTCAGTTTTTTTATTTCTTACTGAGGGTAATCTGTGTATCTATATTAAGGCTGAACACACTGCTGAGAGGCCAAGAACACACAATACAGCTGAAGACAATCTGCCTCCCAACCACCAACCATCTGCTTCAACTTACCTGTCCAGACAGGCTCAGGACATCTGGCTCTTTCACCCCATCACCAAGTAGCACCTTTTGCATCTGTTGTAGCATCCCTGCCTGAGGCATCCACATCAGACACGTTTTGTTCCAGAAGCCCTTTATTTTTTTCCTATGTTTCATCCCACGTTTCATCCCTTTTATCACTCCCCTCCTCTCCATCCTCTCATCTTACCTTCTCATCACATCATTTCCCTTCACCCAGTCATTCACTCTCACAAATTTCCAGTGTAGTGTCCCGTTCACAATCCCCCATCCCAATCCCCAGTTCACGCAGCGCTTCACCATGCCCCATTGTCTTACCACAGACTTTAGTTTCACCCACTGCCCTAGCACAGAAAAGGGAATGCCCTAAAGAAGAAGCTGTTCTTAAGAGACTGGAACAACTTGATCAGGAGAGGGAGAGGCTCAAACAACAAGACAATGAAGAATTTCACTTTGCTGTCGTCATAGCAGATATGTTAAGTAAAATTCACCCAAAGCACAAGTTGGAAGTAAAAATGCCCATATAGCAGATAATGCAGACAAGAGCTTCCCAATAAACACAAATATTGTTTGCACTTGACTGTGACTTCTCTTCTTAAAGAGAAGTGATGTTTTTGTTCCTGAAACCTTTCATAAAGAGAAACAACATGTCCACAAAAACACCAGGGCTTCAAGGATGGTCCTTAACCAAGAGATACATCACTACAGCCACCGTTGAACGCTCCAGGATGAAAGGCCGGCGGATACTTAATGTAGAGGTGGACGGTCAAAACAGCAGACATCTGTTCTGGCTGGCAGACATCCAAAACCCCTGCATTATTGGACTGGACCTGCTGACAACATGGGGGGGGGGCTTAATAGATGTTACCACAGCCATGCTCTTGCTGGGTCAAAAAACCATCCAACTTCATCATCAAAGCCAAGAKGGGGTGCAACAAGCCAATGCACCAACACTACTGGAAGACCTCAACAGGGCCCCACAAAGACCACCTGGTGATTCAGTGTGGATGGGCATGACACATGCTGGGCCACCATCAGAGAAGAGAAGGCAAGCTCTGCATGAGCTGTGTCAATGAAGCTGTGAGGGACTGAGTCTGGAGCAGAGTGAGCAGTGACGAGACCTACTGGAAACCTACAGTGATATTTTTGCTGCCAAAGATGAGGAGTGTTGTCACACCAACCTGATCCAGCACCACATTGATACTGGTGAGACAAGACCCATCCGCCTGTGGCCCCGTTGTCTGCCTTTTTCAAGACCGGCTGCAGCAGAAAAGAAGATCAAAGAGATGCTGGAGGCTGATGTCATAGAACCTTCAAACAGCACCTGGGCGGTACCGGTGGTCCTGGTGGGAAAGAAAGACAAAGACTGGCGGTTCTGTGTTGAATTCTGACGTCTGAACAAAAACACTCACAAAGACTCCTACCATCGTCCACGCATTGACGACACTCTTGACTATATTGCTGGGTCCAGCTGGTTCAGTTCCCTTGACCTCTGCAGCGGCTACTGCCAAGTAGAACTGGCCTCAGAAGCTCGCCCCAAGATGGCATTCACCATTGGCCAAGGACTGTGGCAATTTAAAGTGATGCCTTTTGGCCTCTGCAACGCCCCAGCCACCTTCAAACGCCTGATGAAGAGGGTTCTGGCCCAAGTCCCATGAATTCGCAGTGTTGTCTACCTGGATGACCTCCTTATGCATGCAGCCAGCTTTAAAGCTGCGCTGGCCAACCTCCAAGAAGTGTTTGAGGCTATTCAGCAGGCCAACCTACGACTCCACCCACGGAAGTGTCACCTGCTTCGTCGAGAGACTACTTTTCTAGGCCATGTCATCAGTGCAGCTGGAGTGTCCACAGATCCAAACAAGGTCAATGTGGTAAAGGATTGGCCAGAGCCTTGTGATATTGGGAAGCTGCGTAGCTTCCTGGGACTCGCCTCCTACTTCCAAAGATTTGTGAAGGACTTTGCCACCATCCCCAGTCCCCTACATCGGCTGACCCAAAAAGGACAGACATTTCACTGGGATGAGGACTGTGCTGCTGCCTTCTCCACACTCAGAACAGCACTTGCTGAAGCCCCAGTGTTGCAATATCCTGACCCAAACCAGCCATTTATTGTGGACACTGATGCCAGTGATAGAGGCATTTGGGTGGTCCTCTCTCAAGGAGGGGAGGATGGAGAACGAGTTGTTGCCTACTACAGGCACCCTCAGCCGACCAGAAAAGAACCACTGTGTCACTCTAAGAGAGCTGCTGGCTGTTGTGCAAGGGGTTCAACACTTCCACATTACCTCTATGGAAGAAGATTTCTCCTCCGTACAGACCATGCGTCCCTGACATGGCTGCTGAACTTCAAAGAACCAGAGGATCAGCTAGCTCGGTGGTTAGAGACACTGCAAGACTATGACTTCAAGATTGTCCACCGGTCAGGCCATCTCCATGGAAATGCTGATGCTCTGTCTCGCCGGCCATGTGCTGTAAGAACCAATTGTCATCAGTGTCAACGAATGAGGGATCATAACCCAGTGAGTCCTCGAACAGTAGCCCTACAAGTTGCCAGCAACAACCCACAGCATTTTGAGAGCCCCCAGGAGGTGGGGGAGACTCCAGACAAGATGGAGGCTATAGGGCCTGAGCAGTTGCGGGAGGAGCAGGATCTGGACCCTGTCCTTGCTCGTGTCAAGCAATGGGTGGAGGCTGACCAGCGACCCACCTGGGAGATAGTGGCAGCACTGGACCCAGAGAATAAGGCACTGTACTCTCAGTGGTCTAACATTTGCTGCCACAGTGGGGTCCTATATCGGCAGTGGCAGGCTCCAGCAACACATTACAACATTCTCCAGCTGCTGGTGCCCCAACAGTTGCTAGCCAAGGTGCTCCATATGATTCTTGGCTCTGTAGGGCCAGGCTACTTTGGCGTTGCTAAGACTCTCCAGCGTCTTCGGTCAAGATTCCATTGGCCCGGCTGCCACCAAGATGTGGAGCTCCATGTTCATTGTTGTGATGCCTGCACAGCAAAAAAGGGGCCAACCCAGCGCTCACATGCCCCACTGCAGCAGTATCACGTGGGGGCACCCATGGAACGGGTGGGAGTTGATGTTTTGGGCCCATTCCCTGTAACAGAAAGGGGGAACCGTGGCCGTAGGCATATGTCATCCCCAACCAGAGTGCTGTCACCACGGCTGAAAGACTGGCAAGTGAGATGTTCTGCCAGTTTCGTGCTCCCGAAGAGCTGCATTGTGATCAGGGTCGGAACTTTGAGGTGAAGGTGTTCAATGAGGTCTATCGGAGGCTTGGCATCAAGAAAACACGGACCACCCCGCATCATCCCAAGCACGATGGGTTGGTTGAGCGGTTCAACCAGACCCTGTCCACCCAGCTTGCCATTCTAGTAGACCAACGACAGTGAGACTGGGATCTGCACCTGTCTGTGATCCTGTGGGCTAACCACACAGCAGTCCAAGAGTCCACTCGCTGCACCCCTGCCTTGTTGATGTTTGGGCATGAACTGCACACACCAGTGGAGTTGGTGTTTGGACCATCCCCAGAAACAGAAAGGTCAGCTGGGCCAGGACTGAGCTACTTCAGTGACCTAAAAGGGCGTCTCCGGGTTGCACACGAACTGGCTTGAGAGGCTCTAGCTATGGCAGGGATCAAGCAGAAGTGAGCCTACGATGCACGCAGCCACAGAGTGGATTTTGTGTCTTGGGACGTTTGGGTGTTCTGCCCTGAACGGAAAAAAGTGCTGTCCCCAAAGCTCACTAGCCAGTGGGCCGGTCCCTGTGTGGTGTTGCAGAGACTCTGATGTGGTGTACTGGGTGAAGCTGAAAAAGAGGGGCCGAGTGGTGGTTCTTCATCATGACCACCTAGCCCGACACTAGCCAGGCAGGCCTGCAGACAGTGGCACAGAGACTTTTTCTCCTCTGGTGGCATCTCCAACACCACAGGTTGCTCCAGGTGAGTTTCCACGAGCCAGTCATCCTCGACGACAGTTCCCAACAAGGCTTAAGGACTTCATAGTTGATCTGTAATAACAAAGAGGTGTTCTGGTTTTGTTCTAGTTATAAGGTTGTAGTTCATTTTACGTTACTCTGTGTTTTTGGTGCTGACACAGCTAACTGTATGGGGGGGAATAGTGTAACAGGAAGTGGGAGCGGACTTCCTGTTATTTCCCAGAATGCTTTGTGTTATTTTTTAGATTTTCTGTGGAACCGTGAGTGAGATGGAAGTGTGTTGTATAGACCTGCTTCTTGTATACTATTGAAGTCAGTTCTTCTGCTGTTCAACTCTGATGTCATTCTTTAATTCTAACCCACACACGGTTACAATCTTATATTTATTAGCATTTTAGAACCCCGATTCCAAAGAAGTTGAGACATTATGTAAAATATAAACACAGAATATGAAGATCTGCAAATCATTTACAATCTATATTCAGTTGAGTACACTACAAAAACTATTTAATGTYCAAACAGATAAACTTTTTTTTGCAAATAATTACTCATTTCACACATGTTCCATAAGGCTTAATTGGAAATGGGGTTGCAAATAATTCAAATGTATTTAATGATGTCTTCTATTATTTTTCAGTCTCACTTTAAGTCTGATGACCTGCAATACCTTTCCCCGTGTGCTAATCGTCAATGGTCCTTCGTAGACATGACTGTCTGTATCTCAGCTGAATGATAAATTAGACATTTTACTAAAAGAGATGTGGCCCAAGATCTCAACCACAGGTACCAAGTATTTTAGTGAAACCTAAAATAATACTCAACATATGTTTCCAAAATTTATTTAACATGCTTGTTTCTTTCTCACAGTTTCTTACATTGACTTCTCCCTACCACCAGCACCCACCACCAGACAAGACTTATTGAATTGTAAGAAATTCACTCAAACATATTTTACTTTTATATGATGAGATGGTCTTAAAAGACAAACTGCTCACAGTGAAACACTTTTCCTGGTAGATTGGAAACTCCTCACACTGGATGAGACCTCAAACTACCCTCGTCTCCACTTGATGGATGAAAACCAGAGGATGAGGCCTT